TAGTTAGATTTTCTTTGAGTACTTACATTAATTTGTTGCTAGATTTTCTGTTAACTGATTGCCTGCTTCAGTTTATTCCAACAACACAGAATACTGAAATAGGCTTTCAGATAACTATATCAACCCATACCAACATGCTACTAAAAATAATCTCTCATGTTGCTTAGATTGCCTAAAACTCTCCATTGAGCAAAAAAAAGGTTTGTAGTTTTGTATTTTATATAATTGAAATAAAAAGAAGAAATACATTTTTGCTAGAAATGTTTATTTTGTCTTTTTTGAAATTCTTTTACTTGATCTTTTTTAAATAAATATGTAATTTTTTTCTGCAAATTACTATAAAAAATATAATAATATTTTTATATTAATTTGCAATACAATACGAGATCTATATTTGATTCCCATTTTTGGTGGTTTTTATTTGTAAAATTGAAACTGCTAGATCAAATCTTTAAAATTTGTTTCGCAAATTTTTAATTAAAAAAGAATGACTGCAATGTTTTATTAGAATAAGAGAAATAACATAAAATACTAAAAAGATGACAAATAAAATTAGACAGAGGTTGAATTGAATATATAGGTTCTTCTCTTTATAAAGTAATGTTTATTGATCATAAGTTTAACATCAAAATCTTTTTGTTAATTTTTACGATTATTACTTGCTTTAGTATATTTGTGCTATCTTCAGAATAGAATATATCTTTTATATATTTGTGCTATCTTCAGAAAGCTGACAGTAGTATTTATGTAGACAACTAAGCAATATCTTGCATAATATTTTTTAAGGATTATCAAAATTCTGGTAAATATTTTCTGGGAAAATCTGCCAAAATCTTTTTACTTATGCACATTTATAAAAGGCTCACAAAAAGTCTACTATTGGGCATTTAACTATACTTAATAAAACCTAGCTCCAAAGGATCTTTTTGTAAATTAACTATAAACAAATGTAAAGCCTTTTTCAAGGAAATCATGCATAAGAAATACAATTGCGTGTAGTGTTGTAATTAGAGCACAAGAAGTTTGTTTGGTTAATGTCAGGTATTTATCAAATTTTATTTTGATCAAATTTCAGTACAATTTGCAATTTCTCTATAAAGTGTGGGTTTGTTATCACCTTTCAAAGCAGCATTGCTGAGTTTGATTAGATGAATTAAGTTTCTGCTTTGAATTAAGTATGATAAATAACTTATAAAACAATGATAATTGTGCTGTGTTATTTCTTTCAGAAAAGAAATAACGTAGTTATTCCAGTTGTAGCTGCAGTTGTTTTGTCAAATATTGTCGATGTTGACAACTTGTTTGTTGTTGCCAAAATATGTGATTTAATAATTAATTTTTCTTGCTTTTTCTTGCTTGTTTAATAAGTGATCTTTTAATAAACTTTAAGAAATATATTCCCTGCAATGTTTTTCTTTTTTTTTTTTATTTGCATTCACTCCCAACAAGGCTGCAAGCAACCACTATTAAGTTGGGAGTTACTAGGAAAAAAAAGAACAGAGTTATAGAGCAAGGAAACGGTTGACAGAAGACTTGAAAAGTTGAAGGTTGTATGAGTATGTAATCAGCAGTAACTTCAACAAGAAGAAAAAAACAAAAACCGAGTTTATCAAATAACAAGTATATTTTAAACACTCCTTTTCTAAACTAAATGATAAATTAATAATTTTCCATCTCCAGTATATGCTTTATGAAACTATAAAAATGCATTAACATTTGTAAAATGGTTATCGGTAACAATAGTTCTTATCTTAAATTCAGATTGGTGCATTGAGGTAATACACTCGTCAATTTCTTTTTTCAAACATAAACCTGTTATGTAAACTTTAGGTTATGATTTCAAAACATAAAAATAAATTTTTGAAGCCCTACAACCATAATAACAAAAACAAATTCTTTATAAAGATTGTTTTCTCAATCTTCATCAAAATGTTTACCACTTTGGGCTGCTTTTTGGAAGTACACCTTACCCACAAGAAGCAAATAATCTCTTAATACCAAATTTTTGTCAATGATTTTTCTAATATATTATAGTTTTTCAATTTGTATTTTTTACCACTGCGAAACCATTTAAATAAAGAAGAATGATAACCATTTATTTGGCAATGAAAAAAATTAGAATTTTATTAACAGCTATTGACTCCAAAACAGTTGGTATGCCTGATATTTCTTGGCTACTGTAAATAAATAGCCTGATTTGTTACATTTTAATTGCTGTATGTTTGAGACATGCAGCATAATAAAGTATTTACAATGCAAAACCTTGTTTTGCAGTGTAAATAATTTAAAGAAAAGTTTATGTTTTCTACTTAATAATTGCAATTATAATAAATACAAAATTACAAACCTTTAAAATTATTTCCAATGGAGAGTTGTGGGTAGTTTTAGCAATATGTAAGATTATTTTTAGTAGCATGTTAATATGTGTTGATATAGCTATCTGAAAGCCTATTTCAGTATTCTTTGTTATTGGAATAAACTGAAGCAGGCAATCAGTTAACAGAAAATCTAGCACAAAATAATTTAAGTAATCAAAGAAAATCTAACTAATATTAAACCATTTTAATAAAATAAAAATAAAACAATTATAGTGCAAACAAGACTCTTAACCATAACAAAATTTAAGTTTTTATACTTAAGCCGTAAAAAAAACTGGCCTCTTAATTTTTTACGGAAAATGCAACAAATCAGGCCGTGTAATTTAAGTTGGCCATGTTTATATGTAATGTAATAAAATTTAAAAAATTAAAATATTTTACTACGTTACAGTTTATTCATTCTTTGTAAAACGTATTTTTTTTTTAAATTTACTATACTCTGTGAACGATTATATTATATGTTACGAATTTGTAAAGATTAAAGAACAAAAAATTAAGTTTATATATATATTTTAGTCTTTTAAAAAATCAATTTGTGAGTAGTTGATTGTTACAATAAATGGTTAAAAAGTGCTGTGTTCCTAAATGTAGAGGAAACTATGATGCTAAAACAAAGTACAAGTTTTTAGGTTTCCGTCCAATGAAATCGTTTGTTAAATTCAATTCTAAGAATTAATTTTCCAAATAAACCAGATACTGTTGTCTGTGAAAGACATTTTCCAGAATATTTTTTAACAACTATTGTCAATTAAAAAGTTTGACCAATTGAACCTCCTTCAATTTTTCCAAACATTCCAGCTAGTGCGGTTCCAACTCAACCTTTCAAACCAAGGTCCACAACTAAAGTGTTGTCTTCTTGTTGTCTTTTGAAAAAGAAAAAAATTTGACTGCCAAGTGGAGTGACCTTAAATGTATCTTAGATTTTGAGAAAGATCAGCTAATTAAGTTATTTAGACTAAATTTTGTTGCTATACATCAAAAACCCATTGAAAGACAAAAAGTATCACATTGTTTAAGAGTATTTTGCGATGAAATTATAGCTGCTCTTAAAACTTATTCAAAAGTTATCCAGATACAGGTTTTGGCATACATGTTATAGAGTCGTGGAGATGTGTTAATATTTGCTGAAAAACAATTTTATTATGTTATGTTAGGAGAGTTTTCAACAGATTACATTGAAAAAGTATTCAGTAAGTTAGACAAGGTTCAGGTGGAACATACTTTATAACAGTTCAAAATGTTGTTGAGAAGTTAAACATTAAAAAAGCTAAACTGTTATTGCAATTAAAAGTTAATGTTACAGTCTATGCTATTGATTTCGAGCATTCTTGTCAAAAATGTAGCTATTTTATAAGTTAAGAATCTTGTGACATCTTTAGTCAATTACCTGAACTTGAATCATCTTTCTCATCTAGTACAAAAATAGCTTTGTTTTATATTGCAGGTTATACAACAAGAAAAGATGTTAGTGAAAATGATTTGACCGCGGTGGCTTGAATATACCTCTCGATTGCTGTGTGCAGTGGGTACTTTTTTGTTTCATTATTTTTGAAATTGAGAAAAACAAAATGAGCAGAAAATATTGTGTAATATTGTTATGATGATATCTGATATTTTTAATATGTTAAAGAAACATGGTACAATATTATCAAACATATTTCTTAAAAATTATTGTTTGCTTTTTTCACCCAAGTCCAATAAAGAACCTGCGTTGAAGGTTTTAAAGTTATCTGTATATCATTGAAAAATTATCATGTACTTTTTTTTGTAACATTATTGATGTATATTTTGATATTATTTTCTTTTCACTTGATGTATATTAAGTTTTTTTTTCCTTTTTTTTCTTTACATTATTTTAAAGTGTGATTTAGATTTTAAATAATTACAAATCATTTTCTGAAAAAAATTGCATTTTATTCTTTTTTTTCAAAATATTTTATTTATATTTGATGATTCTTAATAAACACTGCAATAGACAATTTTAGCATTAATACAGTACTTTTAAAATTAAGTAAACTAACTAAAAATAATTGATTAGTTCGCAAACTTTTCTAGCCATTATTTGTATTTTCCGTAACTTTGTCCACCCCTAGTCAGAAATACGGATTCGCGACGGGAAGGCCTGTAGTAAGTATTGCCTTGCAAGTGAAGCAAACATTTTAAAACTTATTTGTTTCCAGGCCTCTGCCATCCAGTTTTTTGCAAGGTCTCCTTATTTGCCTTAGGTATGAACATACGTAAGTTTGGAGTTGGCACAATACGCGAAAGAATCTTTTCTAAAACATCAAAAAAATCCACCGGGTGCCCATAATGACTGTGATAACAATAGTGATAACTGCAAATGATCTCTTCTTTTTAATGCCTACATCAACAGACTTTGTATTGATTTGTCTGCGCATGTGGATCTGCGGTAAATATCACTTGATACAATTTTTTCGCGTAGTAATGAACCTCAAGTCAACTTAAAATAAAGAATAAATCCCGCTAAGAATGAGGGGGAAAAAAAAGCCAAAATACTTGCGAAACTTTTCGCTTAACCATTCAACGACTTTGGGATTGGAGAGAGTATAACAAATCTTTAATATCCAAAAATACAACATAAAACTTTAATATACAAGAATATTAACAGTATAAATTTTTATTCTAATATTGTTTTACAAGCAAATATACATTTAAATAGAAATCCCTTTTTGTATAAAACTAAAAAAAAAAATTACCAGTGGCAATATAAATTAAAACAAATAAATATACTAATATTATAATACAGTTATTTACATCACGTTAAACTTTACCATGTTGACAGTATCAGCGTTAACAACCTATAATATCAACAAAGAATTATAACAACATAAATAACTTGTGGCATTATCATACAAAAATCATAAAAAAAGTGTTGCAAATTATTATAACACATTGCTTTTAACCAAATGTAACAACTTAGGATATATTAGAATTTCTTTCAAATATTGGCATTTTACTTTTTTTTTTAAAGTGGTCTTTAAAATCATGTTTTTAAAATCATCGTGTTTTTTTACTAATAGAATAAAGTTTTTTTTTTAATTATTTTTAACATTATTAAACACTACAAAATGTTATTAAATTTAAGAATATATAAATTATACTACATAAACACAAAATTTTAAAAACTTGTTCACTAATATTCACTTTTTGTATAATTGGAAAAGCATGGAGCTGAACAAAATCCTACATCACATTCTACACATTACAGGTGGTTGCAGCCCAAAAACCACATGAAAGTAGGAGAGCCTAGAACTTTTTTCTTGAGAAAATTAATACTTTTTAAGTTATTACTATCGAAAGATAAGGCTAAATGGGATTCTTTCTGATAGGTATGGTTTAATATGTCTCGCTTGTTTTCTTTTGCTTGAATGTTGAAGCTGACTCTTTTTTTCGCACCCCAAAAACCACACTAACTAATTTAGCTATAATTTCTTAAGTGTTAAAAATTTTAACCTGATTTTTTGAAGATTGTTATAATAAATTGCTCTTAGGATGATTGCATAACTGCCAACTTATATTTTATAAAACACTTCAAATGTACTACAAAAACCACATCTTATGCACCCCAAAAACCACGTTGGTTTTTTGATGATTATGGAAAAGATTTGAAATAATTTAATAAAATATTTATATAGTTTACTCGAAGTTTCCATTTGTCATCCATAAAAAAGATTAATTATATATGTTAATTTATTGCGGAAATACTGCCATTGAAGCAAGTTATGTTTTTTTGTTTGTTCGTTTATTATGTATTAATAGTAAGTAAAATGAAACCAACGTCTCCGTTACATTTACGTATATACAAAGTAAGAAATCTTAGTACAAAAGCTGATGTCACAATTGCCAGAAAACTAATGAAAAAAACAAGCAACTAGAAGCTGCTATAAATTGATGCAAATAAACGAATGGGAGAGGACAAGCAGCAGTAAAGACTGGTATTTTTCCTCTTATCAAAGATAGAGAGACAATCAACAGGCTATTAGATGGAAAAGTGATTAATGGACAAGAAAGAAGTTACTGTACTATACTTACAGAAAATGAAGAGGCATGTATTGTTCGTTTTATAAAAAATAAGAAAAGGTCTTTACAAGCAATTAATATCAAATTATCATTAAATGCTCTAGCTGCACTGGAAAAAAGAAAGTACGTTGAAATTAAATAATTAAACTTACAATGATCCTATGAAATCTAAATAGGGTAATAAGAATCATCTTTATATTTAAATATCCTTTTTTAATCAGACTATTGTTTTTATACAATGGTCCTCTTTTATAGATTAAGTTGATCATTTTGGCTTCGCTTTAATGCTAAACATAGCAGTCTTACCATCAAGCGACAAGGAAGAGTCTCTATAAACCATGCACTGAATTGTTCAAGGGAAATGGCATGTAATCATTTAGGTATCAGTTTGAAAATTTTTATAAGTATCAATCTACATTTTTAAATATACTTATTTCTATGTAATGTATATCAGATTCACTTGCTAAAGAACTAGTAGAAGTTGGTGTTATGGTTAATGAAGAGAAAATTGAAGCAGGGGTTCAGAATGGCATTGTTGATACTAGTCAAATATTTCATTGTGATGAAACACCCCAATTTATTAACTATGGGGTTAATGGTGCCAATTCTGGATTATTTTATGCTGGCAAAGGGGATTTATGCCAAAGAATGTATAGAGAAAACAGAGAATGTGTCACAATTCAACCATTTGTTTCATTTTCAGGTATGCAATAATATGCGGTTTAAGAAAAATTGTATAAATAATAATACTTGCTAAAAATGCTCTTTTATTTTAAGAGGATATATATATGTGCCAGGTGATATTTAAATGTACTGGTATTACAAGTTGTATGGTTCCGACAGAAGCAGCAAATAAAATTCCACATTTGTTGGTTACGACATCAGAAAATGGAGTATCAAACCATGAATCATTCTTGGCAGCATTGAAAGAATTGTCTACTTAAATGAAAAAAATGTTAAGCGACCCATCATCTTATTGTCAGATGGACATAATTCAAGACTAGACTTTGATGTTTTATCTTTTCTTGAGTTGAAAAAAAATTGTCTCTTTGTCACTCCACCAGACACAACAGTTACTCAACTCCTGTTGTGTCTGGTGACCAAGTAAATAAGAACATTTATAGCGAGTATCGTAAACAATCGTTTTCAACTCCTTAAATAAAGAAGCTTTTATGTTAGTTCTAACAAATATATGGGACAAATAAGCAACCAAAGAAACTATTATAAAATCTGCTAGAAGGGTTTGTGTCACTGAAAAATCATTGAGTGTTGAATTTATGCAAAAAGATAAATTTGAAAGAGCAGAAAACTGTATTGAAGCAGAGAAACAGTCATCTCCCTTAATTTCTTCGCCTGATAAAAGACGTCGTTCAGCAAGTTACTGGAAATTAAAGTTTGAACAAACTATAGAACCGATTGATGAACTTCATGAAAAAAATATTCAACTGGAAGAAATACAAGGTTTTATGGTAACCAAAAAGGTAAAGCCTAAATTATCAAAAGATATGACACGTGTTACCCAAGTACATGGTTCAATGACAGCAAACAATGTATTAACTGTAGTTGAATCCATAGGAATTCAACTACAGTTAATACATTGAATCAAAGGAATCAAAGAAAAAAAGTTAAAAGAAAAAGAAGATACTGCAACAAAAAAAAAAAAAAAAAAAAAAAAAAAAAAAAAAAAAAAAAAAAGGAAGTTAAAAAAATTTTTATTAAATGTATGCTTCAATGTAATTGTGGAGACATAAAATGTAAAGCTTTTGGCTTGAAGCAGTGCCTAACATGTCTTAATGTTATGAAGTCTGTTTCCAAAGTAAAGTAAATTGCAAAGTAAATGAACGAAATCCAGAAATGATCTTATTAGCAGGTGCTAGAAAGAAATGAACCAATTATTTTAATGAGATATTTCTACAAATTTTGTGCAAATTTAGTGAAAAAGATTGTTTCTGGTTAATTCTTTTTTTAATGCACCCCAAAAACCACATGTTGAATTCTACTTTTTAATTGTTATTTTTACATGCTTTCCTTCTATTTAAAATGCAAATGGTTTGATTTATGTATAGAATATATAAAAGATAAGTTAACTAGATTAGAGTTGCAAACTTAGTCTAAAAAACCCCTATTTTATAGCAGTTATTCTTAAAAATTCTAAAAAATTTATACACTTTTTTAAACTGAAAACATTTGTAAAAATTTTCCTATATTGTTATCTTAGTTTTCTTTTATTTTAATTGTTACTGGAACATTCATATATCAAAAAACACTTCTTTTGTGGTTTTAAAGTACAGATTAAGATTTTTATAGCCATATAACCGACTTGCTGTTTTTGGGGTGCCTTAGTTTTTGCGGTATATTCACCTGTAATCTCGAATCTTTTTGAATTAAGTGTTTGTAACATACCACGCACCTTCTTTGAGCATTAATCTTTTATTATCATTTACCAAAAATACCAAATCAGGGGTCCCAAAATAGGGTTGAATAAATAAAGTAAATAATAAAAGATACTAGTTCAAAAATAAAATATATCTTTTGACTGCCACAATATTCTGATTCGTGACCATTTTTTCATCAAAAATTTTCAAGTCTCTAAAACTTGAAAATCTTTGATTTATAATTTGCGGGATATCAACAGATAAAGATCAAAACATTAGAATATATATAACAATAATATTATAATATATATATAATTGACAATTTGCGGGATATCAACAGATAAAGATCAACACATTAGAATATATATAACAATAATATTATAATATATATAATAGACAATTTGCAGGATCTATACAAATTAATAATAGATAATTTGCAGGATCATATATCAACACATAAGAATATATATAACAACTTGAGATTATTTTTTATTTATTTTTTGCATTTTTATTCAGTTACACTAAATCTTATCAGTTAAATATGATTAAGAAAAATAGCAAAAATTAATTTATAAGAATTTAAAATGAAATAAATTACTGAGCATTTTTTCCTTTTTGTCTTTTTTTTTAATTAATCCATTAACTACGGGTAGATCAGCAAGAAGTTTCAAATGTCGTGCCACATTTGAAACTAAATTAAACATAAAATCATAGTTTGTAATTAAAAAAGACTCATACCTTGTTTTTGGAAGATCAACAAAAAATGGTATTAACTGTTCTAAACAAACAAAAAAATCATAATAAATATCGATATTTACTATTTGTTGATATCAAGTCAATAAAACTATCAAAATTTTACACCAGAATTAAACAATACAATTAGGTTGATTATGGTAATACACTTCAAAACTAATGTAACAATTTTTTTAAGTAATCACTATATATATTTTTTTAAGTAATCACTTTGAAGGAGGGGGCGGAACTATTTATAATTAAAATTAGGGAGGATGTTCTCAATAAAAACATTAAAGTTAAAAAAAAAAAACAACTACGGCCTTCTTTTTGTTAAAAAAAATCATTTAATAAAAAAATAAAATAATTTTATTAATAATAAAATAAATAATAAAAACTAAACACTAAACGCTGCATCATATTCCACTAATTCAAGGTTTGCACAGTGCATAATTTTGGATTTTGAATCAATAAATTTTTAAAACTCTACAATCTGTTCCAATTCACACACAAAGTATGTGTCATGTCAATTCATATGATAGCTTCCTGTTTTATCCTATACAAAAAACTGATAGTTCACTGCAAAATCATCTGATATAATACATTCATTGTAGCCTAAACTTTCAAACCGCAAACAGTGAGTTGGGAATTTAGCAATATATGAATGTGAAGTAAAATTAATAACAAACAACAAGTTCTTTGTATTTATTTGAGGTTTACTGTCTGAGTAATTATCTGAGTGTAATGTAAAATACCTTTTTTGTATTTAGCTAACATAACTGTATAAATGATATACTCAGATAAATGTTTTTCTATTGATTAATTTAAATTTCCGTTAAAAATCCAGTATTCTAAAAAGTCTTGACTAAAGATGCAAGTAAAAATACAAAACCCTAATTAAAGTACAAGTAAAAAGCGGTTGATACTTTTTTCCAATGAGCAAATCCAGGTTTAACATTTTTTGTAAAATCCAGACCAAAATTATTAAAATTTTATGTAAACCGCTTTTAATCATTTTCTTATAATAATTTGCGATAGATAAATAATTTAATATGTTTATTACATTAAATAATTATTTTTAATATATTAAAGCAAAATTTGTTACAACTTATCACTATTAAAAACAAATTTGATATTCGAGTACTTATTGTATATGGCTCAGGATTTTATAAAAAACCTGATTTACTCACTGGAATTTAGTTTCAACCATAAAAAGCTTAGTAAAAGATGGCATAAGGGATCGTCCATAAAGTACGTACGTTCAGAGAGGAAGAGGGGTCTGCAAATGGCATTTCTGAAATAAGAAGGCAGTAGGTCAATTATAAAAGTATGAAGACACTAAATTAAAAAAATATAAAATGTTGGGTTGGAAGGTTAAAAGCGTAGGTACTTGTAGGGTGGTAGATAGTACTCAAAAAAGCATATGGCAAATTGCGGGAGCGGCGGCGAAAAAAAAGCGCATGTACTTTATAGACAACCCCTAACAGACTTTATCTTTTTTAACCTAAATTCTTTATCTAGAACTGATTTTGTCAAATTGTCAAAACCTGGACATTTAAATCATATATTAATCTGGCCAGTAAATCTTTTGAATCTACTCTATTGGCTAGCACTTACAAGCAAAATTAGGCGTTAATGGTGTATGCAACCACATAAAGTGTGTATGTTTGGTCACACCATTTTAGCTGCAAACTACAAAACTTTTAAAATCCTATTTTAATGTTAGGCTAATAAATTTTAAATTGAACTCAAAATTTACAACAGTGTAATTACATTTGTGTAACAGTGTAGTATTGTGTAAGATCACTAAATAGTGTAGATACTGTGTAGTACCACCATTAACCTTACTATCTTTCTTAATTCTAAAATTGATAATTATTTTTAAGATTAGTTTTTTTTTAATTACATAAAAATTATTTATTGTAATAGAGAGGGAAAAATAGTAGAAAAAAACAAAGATACTAAAAATTAGCCACCATGTTAATAATAATAAAAGATTATATTGTAATTATCATAAATAATTAAATTTTACTTGGTGGAAAATCGTAACACCCAGCCCATTTTGCAACTTGCAAAATTTGCAACAACTTATCAACTGCTTCTTGTTTATGCTCTTCCAAAGCATCTATAAAAAATAAAATCAAAACTTATTTTTAATTTTAATATTGCAAAATTAAGAATAATTTAAATAAGTCGGTTATTGTGGCATATATATATATATATATATATATATATATATATATATATATATATATATATATATATATGCATCTATAAAATAGTAATCGCTAGTGATCGACCGAAATTCGGTTCGGTTCCGGTTCCGGTCATAAATTTGGCCAGAATCGAAATTCCTGTTTCGGTTCCGGCTAGATTTGAGATTTCGGTTTCGGCCGGAATTTCGGTTCTAAATGCTACCGAAAATAGATATTATAAAACTTTATTTTAAATAAATTATTTAGCATTGTAGCGTAAATATATTTTGATTAAAAAAATTTAAATAATTTTTTTGCTAGTTATTTCAACTTCTTATATTATTTTTTGCGTCCGATCGCTTTGTTACTTTTATCTGGTTTTTAATTATCATGTTTAAAATATCATGATCTACAAATTTAATGACGCTACAATGTTATCTATATTGTAGAGTCATATGTTTATAGACTTGATTATTTATTTATTTTAATTATCGCATGGAATTGGTAACGGTAAAATCTTTACGAACTTGGTGATTTTTTTTAAAATTATCACGTGGAATTTGTTTGAAATAAATTAAAAAAGTTTTTATTGGTTTCATTCATTTTTTTAAAGCAAGTTGTTTTAATGTTTTCTCGTCGTTAAAACATTAAAACAATAATGCTTTCTTGTCGTTATAACTTTTTTAATGTTTTCTCGTTTAAATTGTTAATTGTCTTTTTAACGAACTTTTTAATGTATTGAACTTTTTAATGTAACAAAAGAAATTTTTCTTAAATATATATATATATATATATATATATATATATATATATATATATATATATATATATATATTGTTAAGTTAACAACAATATTAATACAAATTAATATAATTAATAATTAATATAATTAACAAAGAACTTGTTAATTATATTTTAAATCCTTGTTCTTGACTCAAACTAGCAACATTAAAAAACTCATCTGATTAAGTTCTTCGATTTCATTCTAATAAAATGAGCTCAAACCGAAAAACAAGTTTAGTGTGGAAGTACTTCATAATTGAAGCAAACAATCCAAGAATGGTTCAGTGCAAAATCTGCAACAGCAAAGTTTCAAGAGGATCAGACGACCCAAAAAAACAAGGATTAAGTGGACTCATGTCACACCTGAAGAATCATCATCCTGACATCAAACTTACGCCCGAAAAAGCAGAAAATCCAAAGGCAAATGAAGAAGCTGACTTAAATTCCAACAAGAGAAAGGCAGTTACAATCTTCAACATGCGATCAAAAAAACAAAGATCCGACATGTTACAATCTACAATTCCAAACTGGGTTCAAGCTTCTTCAAAAATTGACTCTAATTCTGAAAAAGGCCAAAAATTTCACAAGTCAATTTTTGAAATGATGATTCTTGACCTCCAACCATGGTCTATTGTCAATGATGCTGGATTTTTGAGGCACCATGCTCTTATTGCTCCAAATTACGAAATTGCTAGCGAAAAATACTACAGAAGTTTACTGGATCCGACTTACGAAAAAATTAAAGTTGCTCTCAAGGAAAAGCTGGTTCAATCAGAAGCTGAAAATGTGTCTGTCTGCCTTGATGCATGGTCATCATTTCATCATGGCTATCTGGGAATGACTGTTCACTTTATTTCCAAAGACTGGAACCGTGTCAAATTCTGCATCTCTTGTTCTCCATTTGATGAAAGTCATACTGCAAAAAATATTTTCAAAGAGATCAAAGCAGCAGCAGAGGAATGGGAAATTTCTTCAAAAATTGGAGTTTGCTTAAGAGACAACGCAGCAAATGTAAAAGCAGCCTTCAATGAGCCAAGCTGTAATTATAAGTCAGCTGGATGCCTTAACCACTCCCTTCAACTTGTGATAAAAAAAGACCTATTATCAGATCCTACCATCAACGAACTGATTGAAAAGAGTCGAAAACTTTGTTCTTACGCATCCCATTCTATTGGTTTCTACACTGAACTTTACAGACAGCAAGAAATCCAAATGGATAGAAAAGACAGACTTGGCTTAAAAAACGATGTTGCCACAAGATAGAACTCTACCTATTACATGCTTGAGCGAATTTTACACCTGAAACCAGCCATTGCTGCAACCTTACTCAAATTTCCTTCTGTGGGAATTGAATTTTCCGTCCAAGATTGGAGCCTCTATGAAAAAGTGGTGAGGATTTTAAGTGTTTTTGAGGAGGCAACAAAAATGTTGTCAGGTAGTGATTCTTGTATCAGTTCCTGCATTCCAATTGTGACAACAATAATTAAAGCTTTGGAAACAACCTCCGGCGACGTCAGTGTTCAGAAATTGAAAATAGCTATGAAAAATGCAATGGAAAAACGTTTTTCAGCAGTTGAAAAAACAGAACATTATTCAGTTGCTACTTTACTTAATCCAAAATACAAATGGTATTTTTTCCGATCTCAAGCTGCTTTGCAAAATGCCAAACACATTGTCATGTCCCAAATGGAGAATTTTGAACCTCTTGAAGATGAATTGGCTCCTGTTACTCAAATTCCATCTGGTGACAATGAAAAAAACACGGCATTCTCGCACATAATGTCAAAAATTATTGCACAGTCTCAAACAGGACCAAATGAGCATTCATCTTCCAAAATGACGAGGGAAGTGTTGAAGGATTTTTTGGATTGTCCAATGGCTTCTCATTGCCTAGAATTTTGGAAAAACTATGAAAAAAATGCGACTAGCAAAATCAAGTTAGCATTGACTAAGGTGGCAAAAAAGTACCTCACACCACCCCCAACATCCACAGATGTTGAAAGATTGTTTTCTACGGCTGGAGATATTCTATCTAACGAAAGAAACAGACTCCTTCCAGAAAATTTGGAAAAACTCCTTTTTTGTCGAGAAAATCTTGCAGTTGTTGGATTCTGCTATTAATCATTTTTTATTAATTTAACTTTGTGTTTTAATTGGAATAAACTTGCAAACAAAAACTATTATTTATTTTCGGTTCCGGCTCTGGTTAGGGTTTACTTTCGGTTCCGGTTAGGAATATTTAAAATCTATTTTCGGTTCGGTTACGGTTCCGGCGAAATTTCAGTGCCGGTCGATCACTAGTAATCGCTATACTACAAATACTACAGGCTGGGTGAATAAAAAACAATTAGTTCAAAAAACACTGAGTAAAAGCAAATGCCGTTTTTTTATTCACTCTGACTTATATTTTAATTTCAAAAAAAAAAATCACATATTTTTTATTATCATAGAAGCATATAGTGAGAAACCACAAAGACTTCAAGTAATATGTACCGCTTTTTTCAATCTCAACATTCTGTATAATTTTTAAAAAAAAAAGGTTTTCTTTATATATATTTATTTTTTTTATTCGATTTTTAAAATTATTTAAAATTTTATTTTACTTAAAATATAATATTTTTTCCAATTACTGTCGAGGTATGTCATCTGACCTAAGACGCTTCAAAAAAGCTTTCACAGTGTGTGTAATAGTTTGATAAGTTAACATTAGGAATAGATAAGCATGTATAACGCATTCTTAAAATTAGTTCATTTCTTCCAGCTGGGGCCGGATTTCTTTGCACGTTATTCTTAAGATAAAAAAATTTTTTACACTGATTCAAGAAAGACTCTTTACACTGATTCAAGAATGGTGCAAATATTTTATTTGAATGTTCTGAGCCCTCATCTCAACATTATGATGGATTCTGACATTATCCATCACCAGGGTGAATTCTTCCTCTGTCCCCAAAACTCGCCTAACTTCATCAAAATATTCTTGAAACAAAACTGTGCTGACTGACACACTGACAGCTTCGCAGTGTATAATATATAAACCATTGACGGCCAATATCATTGAAACGTTATGCTGCCTAGGACGAATGATCGGGTTGGGTGTTACTCTTCTTCTTGCCCATGAATGACTGTAAAATATGTGTAAATTAAATAGACTTTTATCAATAAAAACAATATTTCGCTAGCGATTAATAGGTGAGATTGAAGTATACCACCTAACATATTCAATACGAAGATTTTTTACATCATTGTTGTTCTTTCATAAATTGGTCAAGTAATTTTATATATGTATCTAAGATTGGTCACCCATCTCCAGACAGTTTTAATCGATACATTTACATTTAAAGCATATTTAATTTCAATTATAGTTGTCGTTGTATTATCGTTTATAAGCTCTTTAATTCCTCTTCTAATCTCTTCATTATAAATAACGTGACGAGCGCCACCTATAGAACCAGGAAGTGTTGAATTTGTTCGATCATACCTTCTTAAAATTGATTGTATTGTGTTTCTCCGATAAAGTTTCAGATTGCGTTTTTCCTTGACCAATGACTAGATTTACAACAAGATCTTGTTTTGAGAAACAAAATTTCGCGGCATGAAGATTCAGATTGAATTTTTCGTGGCAATGAAGTTTCAAATTGAATTTTTCTTTGATCAACGACCAATCTAAAAACAAATTTTCGCGTATTTTGGCAAACAGAATTTTGCTGCATGTTTTAATGAAAATTATAATGAATATCCTCATGCGCTAAATGTTTTAATAGGAAATCATGGTTTTTTTGCCAATGCAGTATGTGTATAAAAACTATGTAAAAAAATCACTGAACTCAAAATATAACTTATATTTTGAGATCAGTGAAATATTTATGAGTTATATTTTGAGATCAGTGAAAAAAATATGGTTTTGCATCCATTTAAAACAAACATGACATCCATTTAAATTTAAAATAAATTCCATTAAATTAAAATAAATTAATATAATATTAATAAAAATAAATTTATATAATATTAGATAAATAAATATATAAAGAAAACTTTTTTTTTTAAATAATATAGAATGTTGAGTTTGCGCATGCATTGAATGTTTTAAATGAAAATCATAATTGTTTTAATTGAAAATCACATTGTTTTAATTGATTGTCGCGGTTTTTTAAATGAATGTCGTGGTTGTTTTAAATGGTTGTCATGATTGTTTTAAATGGTTGTCATGATTGTTTTAAATGGATGTAAAAACCGGTAAAAAACAACAATTGCTAAAAAAGATCGTGAAAAAATATTTTTTTGCAATTCCTAGTAACCTTTTTTATCAAAACTATTATTACGATTAAAAATTTGTATTAAATAACAAGAATACTTCTGAAAAATAACAATACTGAATTCTGAACACATACCTGGATATTTCTGAATAGATTTTTTTACAACGTTCAGTAAAAATAAAACATCTGATTTCTTTAATAAATCCACACCATCATTTTCTTCTAAAAGTTCTCCTGGTTCAATTTCTCCATCTGAATCATTTAGAGCCATTGCACTAATGCTCTTCTCAGATGACATAAACTTCAAAAACCCATAATGTAACATTGAATAACTCTTCTTTTTTATTGCCACATCAGACAAGGTTTGGTGCCGTAAAAATGGTTCCAAAAGACACCACTCCATGTATGAAAAAATAGGGCAGAGATCAAAATTTTTCTCATTATCAGAATATACAAATTTATGAATAGAGGGAAGTTCAAGAAAAACAGAAGGCACTTTAACTGAGCAAATATTAGGTTGCTCAATAATCCAAGTAGCAAGAATTTCTATTAGAGATGCTGGTGGTATTAAATCATCATTATCATCATCTGAAATAATTTTAAAAAAATTTTAAACATAAATTTTAACTATTTACTATAAAAATACTTTCACAAAAGTTTGTTTAGAAATGACACACCTCTTAAAATAGATGCAACACAAAAAAAAAGCACATACCTTGTTTCGCATCAACATAATGATGAGATAATGCAACAATAAATTGATAAGCAAAAACAGGAGAAACATTAACAACATTTTTAACTGCATCAATTGCTTTAGGGCATATGTAACAGTAATCATTCACAATAAAGTATGCAACTCTAGCTCCTCTTCCTAACTGTGACCCATAGCTGTGCATCCATACTGCAATACAGTTCAATACATTTCCACATGCTGTTCCAACTGCCATTGATGAAAGCTTACACATTAGCGTCATTTTATGCTCCTGATAAACGAACCAAATAAGAATTTACAACAAAATTTTTAAATTCAAGCTTTACCAGGAAGTGAGTGGGGTTTTGTGCCTTGTTTGTCCATGTATAAAGTGTTTAGTTTAGAGAACTTGGCCACAGCTGTTTGAGATATTAAGACAAAAGAAAAAACTAAGCTTATCAAAAGAAAAACTGAGCAAAGAAAAACTAAGCTTAACAAAACTTTAAGGGAAAAAAAAAGAAATTAGTTACATAATTCTTTTACTGCTTTTATTTTTGTCTTTTTATGGTTGTTATTATTATTAACAAAGTTTGATACAAGTCAAAGAAAAAATAATACATTTGTTAAAATTAGGGTTCAGCAAATCTGCATTTGTAGTTCCAAATCAAATCTAGAATTGAAGTGGGTCTTGATTTATGAATTGAATCATGAATCAAATCAGCAATGAGGAAATCCAAATTTAATCATCTTTTTTCAAAAAAAAAAAAAAAAAATCTACTTAAAATTTTTTTGCCTGGAATAATTTCTAATAAGTATTACAATTACTTTGGCTGAGATAAATTAAAATATTTTGATAGCAACTTAGCGTTGGATATCTGAAAAAATAAGAAGGCTCACAAAATAAATAGTGATTTGAACATCTCAAATCATTTTTTTGAATCAAATATCAAATTAAAGCGACACATGATTTGCAAACTGAAATGACTTGCAGGGCTATAGTTAAAATATAAGATATTTTTATTGTATTAGTGCTACCATCGAAACAGTAACCTTTTATCTCGAAACATGCGAACAGCAGTGGCCATATTGTCTAAAATTAATACTCTATGCATGGACAAACATGGCATAAAACTGCACGCTTCCTGAAAGGTGTGAAAGTTATAATTTTAAAGATTGTGTAAATATTTTAAAAATAACAAAATTCTAATATAAGCATTTTAAAACTATTGACAAAAAAATATTAAATTTTTTTTTAAATACAATGTTACGCACCAGTATTCCTATTTGCAAATCAAGATTTTCACCAGGTAAACCAAACAGACAATCAAATACAAGATATCTCACAGGATCTAATTTACTCTCTTGAAAGTAACGGCAAAGCGTTTCAAGTAATTGAAGCTCTTGCAAAGGTGTAACAACTTGGAAAAAAAATCCGTACAAATATTCTTCTGTTATCAGAACCAATATATCCAAATAAGGAAAATCAGGCTCAACAGCTCCTTCCTCATCGTCATCATAAGCACGATGAATAGATTCAAAATATGTTTGGGCCAGGTCAATTACTTCTTTGATGCATTCATTAAAAGGAAGAGTATCAAAATAACGATGCAAATGAGCATCTTTCCACACAACATCACTTGTCCAACTACTGATATCTTCCAAAAGTAAACAAATAGTTTATACACAACACATTGTATTCATAAGAAATACTTTAAATTCTTTAAAAAATCTTTTTCTTTTTAATAAAAAAAATTTTCAGAATTTTTCTCACCCCAAATATTTTCACCAAACTCTGACATCATCATCATCTAATATCGTCAAAATTTGTCATCTTCATTATTTAACATTTTTAACTTTATACACGACGACTTGAAATTATTAAAAAAAAAGTTTAAATTAAGAGTTTTTAATTATGAGTTATAAATGTAATCTTTTATACTTCAACCAGTTTTAGCATCAGTCAATGCATAGGGGCAGTCAATGTATTTGGTATCAGTTAATGTATTTACACTTAAATATGCTTCAGACTAAACATAGCAACAATTTTAATCAAGCTTGAGATAACTGTTCAAACAAAAAAATATAGATAAATTAGTAAACAAAATCCATGCTAAAAAATTTATTATTTATTTTTAATAAAGTTTTATTAAAAACAATTTTTTTAAAATGTTTTATTGAAATTTGTTAAACAAATTTAAGAACCCATACTTGACACATAAAATAATTTAATTAATTGATACTAATGTAGATATTATGGAATAATATCTACAAAAGTTGTATTGTAGCATCTATGGAATTGAGTTAAAAAATGTAATTGAATATTTACATGCATTTACAAGTAGAAACTAAATTCAAGTTTAATTTACTACTTTAGAAATTCTTAATAGTTTCACAAGAAAAAACAAAAAAATATATTTTGTTCTTTTTGATATTATTATAAATATATATAAAGAATAAGTACATGTTCTCAAGGATCTAAAAAATTAAATAAGAAGTTTTTCAATAGCTTGCTGAATTGTTTGAATTTGACTTTTTAGTTGTGATCCTTCGTTGATTGTGACAGCACATGAAATAACAGGACGTGAGACGCCAGTAGCTCTACCAAGGGCTTGCATTGAGCGCACAAACACATATGGTACATTCTATAGAACAAAGATATAACATAAAATATTATTTTTTTATGTTTTATTTTCATATTATATACTCTTATTTTAAATAAAGTAACTATTTTTTATCACCTTGTAATAATAGATTCACGCTAGGTAAAAATAACTAACCTTATCTTCACACAACAGGGGTAAATGCAATAAAATTTCTAATGGTTCAGCATCAGCCGCCATAACAATAAATTCAGCGATTCCTCTATTTAAAGCTTTTGTAGACTCATTTGCTCCTTTGAGTAGTTGTTTGTAATTTGCAGCTTGCTGCACTAAATCAAGGATTGATGCTGTTAATGTTGGATCAGCGAGTGGATAAGCTTTTGGGTTTACTTCGTCGGTCTAAAAATATATGATAATAAATGCAAACGATTAGTGGTTGAGTAATTTGTGTTCATTATAGGAAAATGTAACATTTGGATTTGTTTTATATTCTGCTATTAATAACAGAACAAATCATATTAGAATTATTTATGATAAAATAAGATTGTCAGTAATTACCATTTTTAATATTTAAAGAAGTAGGAAAAGGAATGTTTTTAAAACGAACAGCTTCACGTCAAGAAGATCATTAGCCGATAGAGGTTTATAAATTGCGTAGATGGACCATTATGGAAACGCACATGCTTGAAAAAAACTTAAAATGGGGGAGCGTTTATAGACACGGATCATTTTTACTATTTTGAAAGTTTAAGAAAAATTAACTGTTTGAAAAAAGTTGTTGGAGGTCGCCCCCCCCCCACCTTCAAAAAAAAAAAAAAAAAAGTCCTGTCATTACCCAGCTAATACAAAACGTTCACGAACGTTCTATGAACGTTTATAGAACGTGGTCGAACGTTCGCAACGCTTGTCGAACGTACTTGAACGTTTTGTGTTAGCTGGGTAGGGCACTAAAATCTTGAAAACTTTTCCACTATAATAAAATATGAATATAGTATTAATAAAATATAAAAATACAAATTCCTTAAATTTGCAAAAAGGCTATAAATTTTTAAATTAGCTCCCTAAACTCGCTGCTACTCCCCCTCCTTTCTATTAGGTGATTATACTTATGGTTTCTAAAATGGTAGAAGCAATGGTCACTCTTGATTTTATTAGAGTCTCTTTCATCGTTGAATTTTATTCCGTATCTACAAGAAACAAGTTAAATACACAAATTGGTTTTTTTTTTTTTTCTTTTTTTTTTTTGCAATTTTGTCGGGTTACGAAAACAGAGAATTGAATTCAGATTAGGATTAACTATAAAGATTATTTTTATTCCAAATTTTTACAAAAACTTATACTTGGGCTCGGGACCCATGGTATAAAGTTAAATTAGTTTACTAATTAGATTAAGAATACTTTAATTGTAAAACTATATAAATGTTTAGATTTATAGTATATATAACCATATATTTATAAAGTTTTAATTCATAAAAGAAATTTGTTTCTGGATTATAAATCAAGTTTAAAAGCAAAATGAAAGTTATTAAACGCAGCATGACGAGTTGGAAAGTTTGGCTAATTTGTTGAAATATTATTGCAACATTTGAAATATTATTGCAACATTTGAAATATTATTGCAACATTTGAAATATTATTGCAACACTTTTATTTTATGGCCAAATCTCTTAAAAGCTCTGGAAAGGATTAGGGCGAAAATTTCAAACTATGCAACGACAGACATGAAAAAGTCACACAACCAGGTGCAGCAAAATCTTTATTGCCAACTTGTAAAGTTATTCCTAAATAACATTCTTATGAAGTTGAGCGGCCGTGGCGTAGTGGTTAGAGCGCTTGCTATAGAAGCAAAAGATCCAGGGTTTAAAGTAAGCTCTGGGCATATTTTGTGTTATCTGTAAGGAAGGAGGCGTGAACTTTTTGGTTAAATGCCCTTCAACGGCGCTCTGTGACAAGAAAGTGAGATCTTCTTGGGTACCTAAAACAAAATGAAAAAATATTTTAAACATTTACAACTCTTGACATATACTGTTAGTTGTCAAGACACTAATTCAAATTTAGATATAATAATTGCAATAAATAGAGTTCCAGATTGAACCGAATATATTTAACTGAACAAGTTGTTATTATCAAATTGCATAACTAAACACAAAACCTAGTTCAAAAAATACCCAAATCAATGAGTTTCATTAATACATCACTTGTTGAAAGTAAACAACAATTAAATAAAGCTGATACTATTGATAACATGGATTCTGATTATTTGTAGAAGTTTAATAAGAAGGTTAAAAAAATTTCCACAAAAGAAAATCGTTTGGCAAGTCTAACAATTGAAAAAGTTTTATTTAAATTAGAATTTGAAGAATAACTATCAGCATTTTTTTTTTTTTTAATTATATAACTTTTTTTCTAAAAAAAAAAAGTTATGTTTAAGAGCAAAATGCATACAAGTTTTAAAATAAAATTTGTATCAAAACGATAGCCTTAACGTTTTAAAAAAATACATTTAAAAACTTTTAAGCTAAAAAATTACTTTTAATAAATGTCTTTTTTGCCACTTTTTAGGTTTCTGAAATGAAGGTCAACGTTTTGCTGTGTATAGAAACCAGTCTATTGATTCAACTAGAACGGATTCTCTTAAGAAGGAAAATAGATTTCTAGTTTTTACTCCTAAATAATCAATATTTTTTATTTTAAATTCAGTTAGTGTATTAGTTGGTGTGTTAGTAAATTTCACGAAATATCTTAAAATTTGCATACTTTATGATATGGATAACGTAAGTTCTAGAAATTTGCGCTTTTGCTTTGTTTCTATTGGATACTTATAATTTGCCATTTTATCCAAGCTTCCAAGAAGGGATGACATAAGGCAAAGGTAAAACTATTACCCGAATTTTTCATTTATCTTACTGATAATTATGTTTATCATTCAGTTTAACTTCAGAAAATATAAAAAAACAAGTGATTTATATGAAGAAAAAAACAAGTGATTTATATGAAGAAAAAAACAAGTGATTTATATGAAGAAAAAAACAAGTGATTTATATGAAGAAAAAACAAGTGATTTATATGAAGAAGAAGTTAATAATCTAGTCCTAATACTACTTCAAATTTGTGTTTTTTTGGTGTTTTTGCAAAGGTCAGCGCAAATTACACCAATTTTATGAAAAATTTTTTGTGATACAATCAATACAGCAATAACAATGAAAATAATCAAGCAATTAATCTAGTGCAGCAAGAAATTCTATCCAAGATATGGCAATGGAACCTTGATCATTAAACTATCCGTTTCCAAAAGGACTTGGTGGGTTAACCCCTATTTGTTATAGCTTATTTCTTTCATAGCAGTTTTCAACAAAAAATTGACGCAAGAAATTGTATTTTTTTGTTGAATGTTTTGTGGTGATCATATCCCAGCTGGCAGAGACGTCTATAAGACGTGTATACAACGTTTTATGTACATAACTAATCCGTAGGACGTCATTAATAGGTCCAGCGGAATTTTTACGCCCACTGGGAAACCTTTAAATATAACTTAAACTAAATCTAGTGACAGGGACTTGTAAGGTTTAATTTGTATGTTTATTATAACCTCTTGTCTTAACATTTAAAATATTTAGAGCATTTTCCATTTTTTTTCCCATTTTTAATATATCCCATTTTTTCTCATTTGGATTAGGGAAAAGTCGAGTTGCCCCAGACACTTAAGGAAAAAATAGATTGTACACAAGTACTAACAGAAAACAAAGTTCGAAAGCATGTTTACATTGCGGGGGACCTGAACATAAATTTGTTAAACCATAACACTAATGTCAAGCATTTCTTAAATTCTCTACTCCAAAATAACTTAATTCCAACAATAAACATGCCAACATTAACTCATCCACACTTCTTAATAACATAATAACAAATAACTTTTGTGATGACCAGCTTTATGCTGGTATAATTAAGAGTGACCTCTCGGATTATTTCTTCACTTTTTTAGTTTCTAATAACATAATACTTAGCGGATATCCTTCTAAAACGACCATTTATAAGCGACTTATTAACAAAAGCTCCTTGCAAAAAATTTAAAATCTATTAAAACATAACATTGATTGGGATCTTGTTTTACAATTGCAAGATGTTAATAATGCATATGATTTATTTCTTAAACAGTTTTGCAAACAGTACGAAAAAGCATTAACTGAAAAAAAATGTGTGATTAATAGCAAGTCTCTTTTAACTCCTTGGATGTCCATAGGCCTATTAAAATCTTCAAAAATGAAACAAAAACTGTATGATAAATTATTTAAAAAAAAACGTATAAAAATGAGGCAACATACAAAAATTATAAAAATCTATTTGAAAAAACAAAAAAACACTCTAAAAAATATTTTACACAAAAGTATTAGAAAAAACAAATGAAAACACGAAAAAAACATGGCATGTTATTAATGAAATAATTGTAAAAAACAAAAGTATTAAAAATATTCTTCCAAAAAAACTTATGATTAATAAAAAGCTAGTTTATCATAAATCTTCTATTGCTGAGAATCTTGTCAGTTTCTTTGCCAATATTGGACAAAGTATCATATCCGAAACATCAAAAAATCATATTCGCGCCCGTGGTATAGGTTTTCAGTTATGAGAGTACCGAAAAAAATATTGAGAAAGCTTTATTTTTTATATGTTGCAAATACGCCTCCAACATGACAACCATTAGGTATAATCCTATTGCACCTGAACTTTCTAGAGTTTTCATTATTATTCCATAAAAAGTTCAAGTAGTATTTTACAAAGTTCAAGTAGTATTTTAATGTCACTTTAACTAAATTTCGAGAGACTTTAAAACTCTCATATTTTCTCATCTCTAAGAGAGTTTTACTTCAAAATATGTTTTTTCACGACGCAAACCTGCTAGAAAAAAATGTTTTATGATTATGTTTTTTGGTACTGGAAAAATGCAGAAATTTTTAAATAGGTATTTAAAAGGAGAAGAAAAAACAGGAAAGTTGCTAACAGTTTACAAATTTTACTACAGTTTAAAGAAGTCAAAGAAGAAATTAATATGAAGTGAACGGCGTTCATAACAGATGTATATCCATGAAAAACATTTAAACTTCGTTAATTTATTAATGTAATTTTAACTATTTGTATTTATTTACAATAAAAGACAAATATACAAATAATATAATAGATAAAAAAAAAGAAACACAAAATAAAACTATAGTAAACTTAAATCCATTTAATAGTTTTTTCTTTTTTTTAGCGAAAAAAAGTTTTTACAAAAAAATGATTGTTTTATAAATATAGCTCCAAAATTTAACAAATGAACATTTGTAAGTAACAAAATATTTCACAAAGTGTCTTAAAAAAAGTTAATTAAAAAAAAAAGATTTTTTTTAAAGATCAACACAAGTTTACTATTTTTAAGATTTCAAAACCAACACAAGATTTTGGATGTTTTTTTTTTTAAAGTTTTAATCACATAATTATTTTTTTCAAGACTTCATTCATTCATTCACTGTAATTTTTTTTGGACTTCCTAGTTAAACGCTCCACTGCGGATGTGATAAGGCCGAAAGAACTTCTGGATGCACCTTAGTCATATATATATATATATATATATATATATATATATATATATATATATATATATATATATATATATATATATATATATATATATATATATATATATATATATCAATTCTTGAGCAACCGTGGCGCAGTGGAAGCGCACTTGCCTCAGAAACAAAGGATCCGTGGTCCAAACCCCACCTTTGAGCAAGTTCAGCGACATCGGTTGGGAAGGAGGCGTGAGCTTCGTACTAAATGCTCATCCGCGGTGCTCTGTGATAAGACCGTAAGAGTTCTTGGAGCACCAAAATAAAAAAAAAAAATAAAAAAAAAAAATAAAAAATTCTTTTAATTAATTTTTAATCAATTCTTTAAAAGTGTTTTTTAATTAAAAGAAATGGGTTGTCATGGTTGTCGCCATTAGCTAAACATTAAAGTAATATTGGGCTACCCAAATGTTTACTTTTAAAAGCTAAAAACAAGTTTGGCTCTGATTAATTGAAAAAAATAAGTTTGTTAAAGAGTTTGATTAATTAGCATGTATTGCATAATTAGCATAAATTAACATTTGTGTTAACTACCTAAACGTATATGTCACTTTTAAAGTCAAAGCACTTTTATGAAACAGATGTTTAAAAAAATGTTTCTTTTTTTTTTTTGTCTTTCAAATATTTGCTTTATGTTTATTTTTGAGAAGTATAACTGTTTACCTAAAACTTAGCACATGTTTAGGCACATATTTATGTAGGCTTTTTGTTTTGTGTTCTTGTTTGTGTTAAGTGTTTGTCGGCGTTATCGGTTTAAAGAAAGAAAGTACACAACACGATAGTGCGTGAAATTATTATTATTATTTTTTTTTTAAAAAAGAGCGTGTTATATAAATTTATTTTTATTTGAATCTTGCTTTAAATAATGGTAATGTATTTTTTTTTAATTTTAAGTTTAAAAAACTCAACTCATTATTGAATCTGAAAAACTCACCTCATTATTGAAATCTTGGATTTGTAAAAATATAAATTAAACCACGTTTTATGTTACTCACGACTGCGTTTTAAAGGTTTTTAATGTAGCTACATTAATTTTTTTTTAGAGTCCATTCAGATGCTAAATCAAAAAACTGAAGAAATAAAATGTGGAATCAAAGTAGGAAACTGAATTTATCGAAGTTTATAATTTCCCTTAAATAAAATATTTGATATAATATATGATAAAATTACAAATATTAAATTTTTTTTGTCCCTTAGGAGGTAAAAAATTCAATCTCTAATAACAACTATAAAGACCAATTTGTTTGTGCCTTAACTGTATCTTTTCGTAATTTAGTTTTTACGAAGTTTTAAGTCACATTTTTGATGTTTTATAATTGCCGGCATAAACATGGGTACAATTTTTTGTTGTTTAAAATGAAAATGTTTTAAAAGTTGGAAATTTTTCGATGAACTTGGATCTAATTTAGAAAAACATTTAAAAAAGAATTTAGAGAATATAACATCTTAAATAGATAGGGTTAGTGTTTGGGTAAATTAGTTAATTAGCTAGCTATTGTTAGACATTTTTAAATGGAATCAGTAGCTACAAAGATTTTTTTAAAAGCTAATTTTATTATTTTTAAAGTTAATTTTATGACTAGAATTTTGAACGGGTACTTAGAAAAGCTTTTTAAAAATATTAATAGCATTTAACAAAAAACAAATAATAATGCAGATTTAAAAGCAACAATAAAAAAATATCAAAAAAGTATGTTTTTTTGGTTTATTTATTTTGTTCAAAATCAGTTTTTTTCAAAACCCAGAAGTTTTTAATTCAACAAACAGTTAAGGAAACACAATTAATGCAAAAAGTTGATTATGCAAAAATCTTATATTGCAAGTGCGTAAATGCAAGTCGTAATAACACATAGTAACGAGGATGAAGGAAATTATTGTTACATTGTATAAAATGATATCGCTGAAAAATATCATTACATGAATACATCTTTTAACCAATGGAGTTTAAGTAATTCTTTTCCTGATTTAAAAGTGTTTAATATCAAGTAGGCTAGCAAAGTTTTTTCACTAAATAATAAAACAATATCACGCTTTTTTTAGCAACTTTTAGCAACAGATCAAATTAGACCTTAAGTTGTTTTGTCGGGTGACAGATTGCAAGGGCTCTCATTCTAATAAAAGATGCGATACTATTTTGCGTAATTTATTTTCTTAATAGACTATTCTTTTTTTAATTCCTGCTATTTTTTTTATTTGTACAGTCCCGCTATCTTTATAATGTTTTTATAATTCTATAATATCTTAGTTACTTTTAATTTATTTTTTATATATTTAAATTTAATATTTTAATATAAATAAGTTTTATATTATTATTTAATTAGTTTTTGTTTAACGCATAAATTTTTTTTTAAAGACAATATTTAATGACAATATTTAATGAAAAATATAAACCCAGCCTTATTATAGACAAACTGACAACAATATAAGTATAAACAAAAATCACAATTCTTATATTTGGAAATAAACTTTGTTTCTGGCTTTTTGTGTAATGTCTTCCTTTTCATTTTGTAATTTTAGTTAAAATCTGATTGAAAACCCATACATGCTACACCGGAGTCAACCAAATATGTTTTAATAATAAAGTTGGACCAAGAATATTGCATTCTGGTGAAATTTTCAATTGAAATAAGACACTGAGAAAGTTTTTTTTATGAGCTTTGAACCAAAAGATTATCAGGTTCATGTATTTAAATGACAAAATTTTACTTCATTCAATTGATCAGCATCAAGATTACATAAATTCTGCAAAGATGCAAAAAGTTCCCTGAGTTGCTTAAATAACGGCTATAATGTTTTGAACTTGCACCCCACCAAGTTTATGACGCTTAATGAAGGGACAAACCAGTTGCCTTAGATAAAATTTTCTAATAAATAGGACTTCTACTAAAAAATTTAAAATGCGACCGAAAATAGTAATTTAAGATTCAGCGAAAATAGTAAAAGAGATTCAGCGAAATGAACACCAATATTAAGATTATGAGCGCTGCATGGCATGTACCTTATGAGTTCTTCAGAAATATGATTGTTTGTACTCTATTGTACACATGCTATTTTAAAATTCGAACGCTTTTAGGGGGAAGGGGGTTTCCCACACGCGTTCGTACGCTTTTGGAAAACCCCGTCCCCCATACCTGCTTACGTACTTTATAGATGGCCCCTTATTTCATTGCTCACTAGATGTCAGCAGTTCAGTATGTCAAAAAAACAGGTTGAGCAAAGGCGCTCTTTGAGTAGAGGCGTACAACAGCCAAAAAAAAATTTTTTAAATATAAATTAAATTTTTTTCAAAATAAGTCGCTTAACAAACAAAATCAGTAAATCTATTTTAATAAAAGTTAAATTTAATAAATAAATAAAAAATATTTTTGGCTGTTGCACGCCTCTACTCAACCTGTACTCCGGTAAAAAATACCCATTGAGCCCACCATCTCGGCAACTCTGTATATATATATGGATAGATCTAGATCTAGATATAAACATAGATATATGATATTTATTATAATAAGTAAAATTATTTTAGATATTTAAACTTTTTTTATCTTATCTAACATTTCCAAGTAATTAAGTTTAAATTTTTTCTTAAGATCTTAAATCTGAAAAGTAAAACTAATTATTTTAATGCTCTTTTAAGAGAGCATTAAAAATAATTACTTTACTTTTGCATCAAATCGAGGTTTTTAAATACAATTTGAAAACTATTTTCCTTTACTTTGCACAGCATTTTTCTGATAAAGCTTATAATACATTTTACGAACTTTTGATTGGTTACTCGCGTATGCAATTTGAGTTTCAAGAGTTTGTTGATTTTTTCAAAGACGATTTCACAAAAACTGCAACAGAAGATTTCTTTGGATCGTTTGCGATATTTCTTCAACATATAGTGGTTGTCATTTTGCTATCATTAAAACTAATTATTTTTAAAAATATATTTTTAATGTGTATTTATTTTGTTTAATATATTTTATACATTTAACAAATCTAAGATATGTTAAATTGTTATAAATATTATTAATGTAGCAATTAATAAACTACATAAACAACAATTTTTTGTACCTGAAATACATAACATCAACAATATTTGTAAACAAAAAATACAAAAGCACCTAAACTTTTTTAAATATTACTGTGACTTGAATTTAAATAATTTTTTTAATCAAAATAATATTTCTCTAAACTTGGGATAAAGGGGAATTAAAAGTTGTGGAAAAAAGGCTAACACAACTTACTAGGTGATTTTAACTTATTTAAGTCAATATTTTTCATTTAGACAACTAAAGATTTTTTGCTTAAGAAAGAAGGAGAGTCTGAGGTATGTTATTTTAACATTATAATCTGTTAAATATGATATCTTAGTCTCTTTCGAAAGGCTTTATATATGGGGTGTCGGGAAGAGTTTTGAAAATTATTGATTTTTTTTATAAAGGTAGTATAAAAAAATGCAGTATAAATTATGACATCCATTCTGCTAGAAACTTGCACTGGTAAACTTAAACTTAGATAAAATTTTGCATTTATTTAAGTTGACCATTAATGCAACAGCCGTAATTTTTCTACAAATAAACATAAAAAGTATCCTATTTTTTTTTCTGCTTTGACAGTTTGTTTTTTTCAACATTTTCATATTAAAATCTCTAAACTTAAATAGCAATTGCCTTTAACCGTGACCGATGATTAATTTGGTTCCCATAATTGTTAATAATTGTCATAATTGTTTGGTTCTAATGATTTGTTTGGTTCTCATGAAATACACTAATATATATATATATATATATATATATATATATATATATATATATATATATATATATATATATATATATATATATATATATATATATATATATATATATATATATATATATATATATATATATATGTATATATATATATATATATATATTATATATATATATATATATATTAGGGAAATACACTAATATATATATATATATATATATATATATATATATATATATATATATATATATATATATATATAATATATATATATATATATATATATATATATATATATATATATATATATATATATATATATATATATATATATATATTAGGGCTGGGCAAATTAACGCGGTTTTATCGCGTTAACGCTTTAATTAATCAACGCCGACGATGAGTTTATCACGCGTTAACGTACTTTTTTTTCTTCTTATTATTTTTATTATTATTATAATAATTTATATTATATTAATATAATAAAAAAATTATATTATTTTATTATATTAATACCAATATAATTTTTTAGTATGTATTTTTGTTATGCTTGTTTACAGTTTTGTTTATTTATTTTGTATTATTTTAAAATTATGTAATAATCAATCAATATACATATAATCGAATTTTAATTTATAAGAATAATCAAATCATAAAATAATCAAAAATTTGTGTGACTTTATGTTATTGCTTACGTTTAAACGACAATAAATAAATAAATAAGCAGTGGGACATTTCAAATAAAGTGAGCACACTTAACACAGATAGTGCAAGAAATACAGTCGGTACTACAAGATATTTGTCTTTTGAACGTGTTCCCTTCGTTGTACACTGTCTCCAGCAATCTGTCATAGTAAATATGCACAACAGTGCGTTTGACAATGCTCTGGCCAAATGCAGTAAAGTAGTGGGCCATTGAAACACAGTCCAGCAAGTGCTGCAGAATTAAAAAAAAACAACAAGCAAAGCTTGGATAAAAGAAGGAGTCGCTTATGTCTTTAAACTTTATCTGGTTGGAATGTCTTGCATTCCAACCAGATAAAGTTTGACTCTGAGCATAATAAAAAGTGTTCGCAGAAACAAACAGCCACTGAGCATTGTCCTTACCAAACACAACACAAAGATTACTATGCCAATATCAGCTGAAATAGGCAAATTACAAAGTTTGGATAAAGTTCCTGGAGCCCTGCAGGTATATTTAAAGTCATATATTTCTCACCGACTGGTTTGCTTACATGTAAGAGAGAAATAGTGTACCTGTACATGTTTAAGCATAGTTATGAAAACACTTTTTGTGTGTATAAGTAAATGCAAAACATTTGAGTGAAATGGGTTTGATTTGTTCAAGTATGTGACTGAACTTCTAGGTGAAGAAAAATATGTTTCATGCTCTGTGGTTCTGTTTGCGTTTTGCCTTCTCTCTCGGTCGATGGAGAGCTCAGGTGATGACCATGTAATTAAATTCAAGTCTTCATTTAGACCTGAAGACACGAAAAATCTTCCACATTGCATATATAAAGATTGCAACTTCATTTGACACGAGATTCAAAGAACTCAAGTACATACACTTAGAGTTAAGAGAAATGAGGTGTGAGTCTCAGTCACTACTTACTCAAGGAACAGAGGTTTATTTTAGATGAACCTGTGGTAGCAACAAAATCAAAACCATCAAAGTAAAAATTTGCACTATTTGTTACTTTATCAGTGTCTGATTCTAAACACGAGGAAGACTCAATTGAGAACGGTGTGCGTTGATACAGAGCAGAGCCTACCATCAATACAGAGACCTGACCCTTACAGTGGTGGTTTAAACATGCATGTTCACACAACAGGCTGGCCTGCATTTGCATAGAAGTACTTAGCAAAACCTCCAACATCCATACCTTGCAAAAGATTGTTTTCTCTTGCTGGTCGTATTGTATAAAAGAAGAGAGTTTCTTTGTCATCTAAAATTGTGAATGACCTTGTTTGTCTTACCAACTAGCATGGTAGAGATGAATAAGTAAATTTAAAGTTAGATAGATAAAAGTGTTTAACGTTTTTTCAAACCAAATGTTTGTTTTGTTCATACGCCAGAATTATGAAAGAATAAATTTACACAATACAAAACCTGAGATTTCATTGTTGAACTTTTCTGCGATTAATTGCGCTTAGTCGTATATATATATATATATATATATATATATATATATATATATATATATATATATATATATATTATATATATATATATATATATATATATATATGCATCTTAAAAATTTACTTCAAAAAAAAAAACTTTATTTGAAAGGATAGTGTTGAAAATAAAATAGCGATAATACTTTTTATTCAGTCTTCAAAAATCCATAAGTTATGTTTTCCATTGATAAGAAAAAACCTCTTTTTTTTTCAAATATTACTGTTTATGTTCGAAAAGAAACTCTGAACATCAAAGAAAATGTTCTATACGCAATTTTAAAAACACTAGGAGTAGGACTTGTATAGCTATTTTTTATAACTTACATTATAACAATTAACTTTACATTTATTTTGTTGTACTTTTATATTATTTACATTACTATTTTCTAGTTTTGTTTTGATATTAATTTTGTTTTAAGTATTATTGTTTTACTTTAAAATTTTTAGGGTGATACTCGAACTTTGAACAAGTTGCATTTCATAAATTGTAATACAGTGACAAGACTTGATAACAATATCGAGAAAATGTCAACAAATCTTATAAATGAAGAAGAGAATGTCGAGTTTGCTTGTTTGAAAGAAATAAAAACAAATCGAATGTCTGTGGTCAAACGTGCTGCAAAGACAGACGTTGAAACTGTTTCGAATTATAAAAATGAAGTATGTGACAACTACGAAATGGTTTACACAAAAGGAAAATCTGTTCCAAAAAAACCTCAACGATTGTCAGATAAAAATTCAGAAAAACTCAACAACTTTCCTAAAGATAATTATTGTATAATGCGTGAAGAAAATGAAGAACTAGAATATGGCGAGCATTCGATTGACAAAATAGCAGCTAAACTGTCTGCTGTGCCAATTAACGGTTCATTTTCTAGAGGTAAAATGAAACAGATTCCTTTTATGACAGCAAATGCGTGGCCTTTAGCAGTAGATATATGCCCTGATATGAATAATTTGCATTATGAAGCTGATATAATTAAAACTGAAACAATTGAAAATCAAATTGCTAGCCATAAAGACAATGAAGTTAAAAATTGCTCTAACGTTAAGTATTTGTGTAGAGAACCAATCAATGAAGTGATTAATGATAGCGTTCAATTAGGATCATCAGATTGCTCATCTACTGACCGTTTACCTATGAAAAAAACTAATACTTTCTCACCTCTGCCATGGGTTTCCCCACTTAACTCACCAGTAGAACAAAGAAAACTGCACCGGTCAGGCGAGGAGATGCTAAATTCAATTGGTATCAGTAAGTCCTCTAATATAAAAAGAACTACAAATGACATAACAAAGTCTCTTATGAACAATCAGATAAAAAGCGAGCCTCAAATTAATGCGAAAAATGCGCAACTTCAGCTACAAGATGCCGAGCTTTATGGTATTAACAATACACTATCATTTCATACATACAAAAATTTAGAAGATGATTATGACAATGGTAGAAGAGACAAATATGAGTACGATACTTTTACAGAAAATATCGAGAATCCTTTGAACGGAAATATTGAGATTCCTTTAAACGAAGGTTTAAAGTTAAACAAGATAAAACTTGAAAATAACGAAAAGCCATTTCATGCCAAAAACGAAAATCAATCAAGTAATAATTCATCTGACATAAATTTAACAGATCTTAATTTGAAAAAAAACATTGATTCAAGTGAAAAATTATATCGTAATCCTTTATCTTCATCAGAACACGAAGAAGCACTAAATACTTCTCGACAACATCAAACTAATCCAGTTTTTATAGATCTTATGAAAGCAAAGTTAAACGCTGATCGACAAAGACCAGTATTTAAAAGAAAAATTACAGATCACGAAGAGCCATTGTATGCTTCAGTTATCAAAGAATCCTTACAAGAATATGAAAGCCAACGCTCATCTAATATCATTACAAAGAATGAAAATTTATCAGTACAAAAGATTTCTACACCAGTAGATTTTATGAGTATACTTCAAAAAAAATTTGTTGAAGCCAATCCAGATATTCATAATAATATACACGATAACCCATCTCAACTTGCTATTGCGTACGAGCCTATTTATGCAGATGTTTTAGAAAAGACATTAATTGACTATGAAAAAGAAAAAAATGAACACGAACGTGTTAGAAAGTTGGGTCTTGCTTTTCAAAGCAAGTTTATTAATGACGATACAATAGATAGATCATCTCCAAACTTTTTTGGAATACTCGAAGACAACATGATAGAAAATAAATTGTTATTTGCTGATGACAGTGATTCATTCAATCAGAAAGATGAACCAATATGTGCTCTAGTAATAAAAGCGGCTCTTAAATGGTACCGAAAAACTGTCATACACCAAAAATCTAGCAAGGTTAAAGTTGGACAAGCTTCTAGTCTTAGTCGGTCACCGTCTGATGCTTCTTCTACAAGTGAGGAAGTTAGAATAATAAATACAAGTATTATGGACAGCTCGCCCCAAGTATATTTGTCAGATTCTGAGCTTGCTTTACCAAAAATTCCTTCGCCAGATTATACTTGCTCTAAGTTTCATGTTAGTGATGTATTTTACGAAAAAGATGTTGAAAAAAAAGTAGAAAGTTATCTGGAAACATCCGGTATTAGTAATGAAAATTTCTTTTTACTTAAAGAAAAAACAAACAATATGGAGTCTCACCCATATCATATTGATCGACCATTTTGGAATGAAACTGAAAACAACGACTCCTTAAAAAATAATAACACTAAGCGATCCAGTTTGAAAAAAAAACCTTCAGATATAAAACCCAATTCCGTCTCATTTTTTAAAAACGTCGAAGTTTTTAACGAGAACGATGAACTAAACGAAAAAGAAGTTGTTCGTAAAGAAGAGCCACTTAAAGGTTCACCTCAAATTGATAAAAAAAATGAAAAACGAAAAAAAACTCCATACTCTGAGGTTTCGCCAATTGATAAAATATTTTATGAAGCCGATCTTGAAATTCATAAAAAAAAAAAATCGGTTGATAATTTAAAAAAAAATACGAATCAAACACACAAAAAAGATGAAACTCCATCACAATTACATAGTAATGAATTACCTAATTTGGAAGAGTTACCAGTAGTTCAACCACTAATTTCTGCTAACTTAATCGAAAACAAACCTATTATTCTTAATATCCCTGACAATGCTGGTGTTATGCAGTCTGTGGAACTTAGTGAAGAAGATTTGCAAGATATTGCTAAAGAGCATAATATTTCTCTTGAGGAGTTAAAAGGAGGTAGCCTAATATACAACCTACTTTTTGACCTTATCACTACAACATATCCAAATGGAAAAGTAACAACCAAACTAGTTCCTCAAGGACAAGGTGAAAAATTTGTTAATGATATTTTACTAAAAGAAAAATTAAGAGAACCGAAGTTTCCAGTTTTGCCAAGTGCCAATACACCCCCACCGCTTGTCAACCGATTAACAAAACCTAAAAATATCTCGAGGAGCCCTATAATTCCTGCAAACAGTATGGATTTTGACATCAGACATGGTAAAGATAGTTTAATTCGAACAATTATTCCTTCACCTGATTATTTAGATGAAGTTTCAGAAGATACCGAAAAAATAATTGATTTAGATCTTCTGAAAGAAACAGAAAAAAAATTAAAAAACCTTACCTACAATGAAATAGATTTAAAAGAAGTGAATGAACCATTTGTTAAGTCAATTAATGAACCAGTAAGTAAGAGCGCTGGCAAAAAGTTGTTTAATAATGCTACTCCTCTTTCAATTGAAAAAAATTTAATAAAGCTTTCAATTGAGTATGAAAATCCAGAATATTCTTCTGACTCAATTCAAAATATCAATTTAAAAAATAATCAACCAATAGCATATGATAATAAGGACTTAATTTTTCAATCCGCCAATCAATCAGTCAGTCGAGATGTCAATCAATCGATTGATCAAGTAAAATATGATAAAGTCTTCAAAACTATTGGACGAAATGACCATAATCCTGATTATAACCCTGATTATGAAGAAGATTATTGTAATGAAGATCCACCACAGTTACCTGATCGCTCCAAAAAACCTGTAAAAAAATCATGTTTAGTTGTAACTCCAGTTTCACTACCCCCACCATCTCCGATGCCACACTCACCAAAGTGTAAAGATCAGCTGATAATAGCTAAGTTTAGCCCTGTTTTGAGATAATCATTTTTTTACCTTTTACAACCAAAACACATAGGAGAATACTATAAACTGCGACAGACTATTAAATGCATTTTTAATTCTGTAAATTCGTAAATAGAAAAAAATAAATGTTTCAAATATATTCTATTAATTCTAAATTAAATATTGCTATATTGCTTGTCAGAAAGGTTTCCCATTAACGTTGTTATAAACTTGTTGTTTTGAAAGACCTGAAAGCATGACCGTATACACACACGCTGCGCCTGTCTAAGTATACGCACACGCTGCGCCTGTCCCTACCCAGTAAGCATAAAGACGTTTAAAAGACGTTTTAAAGATGTCTTTAAGGAGGTCTAAAAGGCGCACTTGTAGACGTCTAGATCATAAGGCTAAAAGACGTCTAAATAAAAACGTCTTTATAAAAACGCGTTTTAGACGTATGTTAGACGTTTTTTTCAAGATAAATTTAAGTACATGACGTAACATTTTCGCGCAGTATGTGGTATATATTCATTGTATTTATAACATCATATATTGTTATAATTTCGTATATACAAAATATACATAGGAACCAGGGAGCGTATTCAGCAAACTTTTTTTTGGCGTAAGTTTGGCGTAAGTTCAAAACAGTGAAATCCGTATTCACGAAACTTGCGTAGTTGCGTTAAACAAAACTTACGTAAGTTTTTTCGTAACTTCTGTGCTAAAAAATCGGTATTCACCAAACTTTTTATAAACTTGCTCAGCTCAATTTAAGCAAGAAAAGTTACGTTAGCTATTAGCTGCCTTAACTTTGGCGTAAAGGTAAAATAACTAAATATTAGAAATAGTGTAATATTATTATGATTCATATATTGTCAGATTGATATAGAATTTTATTATAATATATACAATTCATGTATATAAATTGTATATACTATAATAAAGTTAACAATAATCATAAATATTATTAATATCTATGTAGGTACGTGAGTAAAAATTTCAAATTGTTTGAATACTATATTGTTATAAATCATTAGAAAGAGGATTATTACAGTATTTTAAAGGTGAAAAAATTATCAAAATCGAACAATTGGTTCAAAAGTTATGACGGTTTAAGTACCGATTTTTCTATATATGGATTTGTTGAAGAAACTGTGGTCAAAATAATGTTTTTCTTCACTTAAATTGTCATAACTTTGTCAATTCTTATCAAAAAACAAATATCTTGGCATCAAAAGATAGGTGTAAGAGTGGGCTACAACTTTATATTAAATTCTAACCGCCGGGCGTATCGGATGGACAGAGGGGGTACCAAACCACCACCTTGCCCGTGTGAAACTGAACACTTTTTTAGAAAAAAAGTTTTTTTTTAAGACATAAGCAATATAAATATACAAAAAAATTGTTTTAAATTTATACTAAACTAAAATATATGAGAGGTGTATGTTAGCAATAATAGTGTGTGTGGTGGTGATGGTTTGATAAACCCTTGTATCAAAAACGACTTGATTTTATAAATATTAATCTTTACTAAAATGAGTAAAACTAGTATACAATATAAAATTATGTTATACAAGATCTTATGTATACAAGTGGTGTTTCTATTATGGGAGGGGCGTATGACCCCCCCCCCCCAACCTAAAAAAAAAAAGAAAAAATATGCAATTACTGTTTTCAAAATTTGAATAATAAATTAAAAAAAAAATTATGAAACTGGAAACAATTTAAAAAATAAATTCATACCAGACAACCACCAAATATGAGAGATGAATGTAAAACTCATAATAGATATGTTGATGTTTTAGTACTATAATATCAAAAACATTTTTAATTCTTGAAATACCTTAATGAATATTTAAAGTACAACAACAAAGAAGTAAAAAACATATTCCACTAGATTAAAATATACATTAGTGGTGCATCCATGGTCATAAGAGAATGGAGTATAAGGAAGGACCTATCCAAATATATCATAAGGGAAGGGGCATTAGAATGCCTCTAACCAAACCAATTGGATATATATTACTTAAAAAATTATACAACTACTATTGTGGGGCTATAATTATAAGTCAATTGGCTGTGAAAAAACATGTCATCTTTATAACCAAGTATAGCAACTACCTATATTAAAGTCTTTCATGTGATTATTACATTAAAATAAGTAAGGACCATACAGTATGGTTAACGAGCTAGCCATTCTGTTTGGTTAACAAACAAATTTCTGTTTCAAAATAAATAATAAATAAAATGTTAACATTAAAAAAAAAAAAATTTAATTATTTTAAAAATAATTTAATATATTTTTGTCTTGGTTTTTAGTGAATGATTAATATGATTAATTCCAGTAATAAAACTATATTTTAATTATTTTTAATAATAGCCAGCACACGAGGGTAAGCCAGAGTCGTCTTTCAAAAAATTTAACAAATTACAACACTTGCTATATAATTTAGGCAAGTCACAACACTAGCTGTGTTATTTATGCAAGTCACAACACTTGAAATACATTTTTGGCAAGTCACAGCACTTGTTGTATTATTTATGCAAGTCACAACACTTGCTATATATTTTAGGCAAGTCACAACACAAGCTGTATTATTTATGCAAATCACAACACTTGCTATATAATTTAGGCAAGTCACAACACTTGTGTTTTTAAATTCATTAAATTGTAACTCACCAGAAACAATATCAGCAGCATGCTGGGTCTTTTTCATGCAATAGTCAGCAGCTTCAATATCAGTTTCATCATCTTTCCAGTAAGAAATGGTGTCAAGTCATTTTTTCTTTTATTAACTTTGCCACTTGATTTTTTGTCTTTGGCAAATCTCATCTCTTACTTTGCATCGATTCAGCCAATATGTAAATTTGTTTTTACGTGCTACATTAATTGACCATTTAACAATCTTTTCTCTTAAACTTAAATCTGGAGTGTCTAGATAGTCAACAGTCCTATTCTTTTTTGATCTTAGTTTGCAAGTGATATAGCAAATTGTTGCATTAGGAAACCATACTTTTGCATCACTAAACATACCCATTAATTCCTCACTATCTATATTGTGAAGCTATGCACTAGCTGTTTCCTCTTTAAATGTCTCCATCACAGTAAGAGAAGCTAGTAGTAAATGACTAAATACTAAATTATTAAATCATATAATAGGGGTTTAACTGACTGATCCTCTCTAAAGCAACTTCATCTAAACAGAAATTAAATGAACTTTATTTTTACAAATATATATATATATATATATATATATATATATATATATATATATATATATATATATATATATATATATATATATATATATATATTATGTGTATATACATATATATATATATATATGTGTATATATATATATATATATATATACATATATATATATATATATATATATATATATATATATATATATATATATATATATATATATATATATATATATATATATATATATACAGTACTGGAAAAATTATTATGGATTTTTTAAAATAACACAATTTATGCAACAATTTTAGTTAATTTTATTATTTAAAGTATTATATTTCACATAAATTCTTTCTATTTTCACTATACATTCATTGTGTACCATATTTTTCATAAATGTCAACATTTTTTATCATTTTATAGATGGCAACACGATTTTTATGTGTTGTGTCATAATTATGCATATTATGCACATTTATGTTAGTTCGCTGCGTTCCGTCACGAGGGCTTGTCGTCGCTGAGAATTAAAGTTTTTATAACATTTTATTGCAGTTTTAAGTTTTTTTAATATTATCTAAACCAAAAAAGTTACTTAATTTTTTTTTATTTCATTTAGTTTTGTATATAAAGTCATGGGTAAAAATAGTGATTTAAGTCCTCGTAAAATTGGACAAATTAAAGTTTTACTAGAAGATTCTGAACTTAAACAAAAAGAAATCGCTAGGAAATTAAATATATCGACACAAATTGTTAGTCTGATTAAGAAAAAAATTGAGAGAGGGATTGATGTGGGCTCTCAACGACAAGGAAACTGTGGGAGGAAAAAAATAACCACACCAAGAACCGATAGAAAAATCCAAAATATGGCACTTAAGGATAGAAGAGCAACATGTTCGAAGATTTCCAGTATGTTAGGGGAAGAAGGAATCTCTGTGAGCAGAAAAACGGTAAACAATCGATTGTTAGAGTTCGGATTGAAAGCATATCGTCCAAGAAAAAAGCCACGCCTTACAGAAAATATGAAAAAAGCAAGATACGATTGGGCAAAGCAGCATGAATCTTGGACTTATGATGATTGGCAAAAGGTAAAAATGGTTTTTTTAATCTTAAATACATTTAGGAATGATAATCAGTTAAATTACTTTTGTCTTTATTAATTATTTTAGTTGTGATGGGGTCTTGTAACATTATAATAATACGTATTTAATAAACAATAATTTTCAAATTTTAACTTAGAGGTAAGGCACTCTCTCTCTACTTTCTCTAGCAGTTAATTTTGTTTCAGGTTGTGTTTTCTGATGAGTCGACTATCGCAATTTTGGATGATAGGGTCCAAACCGTACGTCGACGACCCGGGGAAGAATTTTTGCCAGAATGTTTGAAGAAGACTGTGAAATTTCCTCAAAAAATAATGGTATGGGGGGCATTTTCGGTCCATGGAACCAGTCGATTGTACATCGTGGATGGCACAATGAACCAGGACAAGTACATTAAGGTGCTAGAATCTCGACTAGTGCCACAAATTAGGGAATGGTATGGGTCAGACTTCTGGATTTTCCAGCAAGACTCTGCACCTTGCCACAAATCCAAAAAAGTTATGACTTGGTTCCAACAAAATGCTGTCCAGGTTCTTCCTTGGCCAGGAAACTCGCCCGACATGAATCCCATAGAGAATCTATGGGATATACTAAAAAATGAAATCCACCAAATACCCATAACAACAAAAAGCCAACTGATAGAAAGGTTAATACACGTGTGGTTTCACTCTACAAAAATTAAATTTTTGTGTAAAAGTTTGATTGAGAGCATGCCACATCGTGTAAAAGCTTTAATTCTTGCGAAAGGTGGCCAAACAAAGTATTAAAATGTATAAAAATGTGTAATACGTGTAAATAAATCATTTTTGGTTATGAACTAATGAACAAATTGTGTTTTAGTAATGCCTTAAGTCCGAAATAACGATGTATTTTAAAAATCCATAATAATTTTTCCAGTACTGTATATATATATATATATATATATATATATATATATATATATATATATATATATGTATATATGTATATATATATATGTAAATTTTGTTATATATATATATATATGTATATGTAAATATATATATTATGTATATATATATATATATATATATATATATATATATATATATATATATATATATATATATATATATATATATATATATATATATATATGTATATATATATATATATATATATATATATATGTATATATATAAATGTATATATATATATTGTATATATATATATATATATATATATATATATATATATATATATATATATATATATATATATATATATATATATATATATATGCTATATAATAACTACTAAGCTATTAAATACAGAAAGTAACTAACTGATGTTGTCGGCTACAACTTCACTATAACTTTGAGCATCTAAAACAGCAAAAGAAATATTTAAGTTATAAATAAAGATTAGATAGTGGCCAAATAATAATTTGAAACAGTTTAATAAATTTATATTAAAATAACTTATTCATAAAGATATTCCTTAATAAATAAACTTTATTTATTAAGGAATATCTTTTCGAATAAGTTATTTAAAAGACAAGATTCTTTATTATAAAAACAACGTTCAAACTTTAAATTAGATATGTAACACCTTTAGTGTTTATTAATAAAGTAATAATCTTTAGTTAGCGTGTATCATTAAACTATACCATTGAAATTGTTAAAATTTACCAAACTTACATATCGCCTGTCTGAATTCACCTAAAAGCCAATTTTAAATTACGAACTTTATTATAAAATTAAACTATAACACTAACATTGCAAAAAATAAGTTTAAATGACTAAATAACTAAAATAGTTTAAACTCTACTTGTTCTAAATTGTCTATAGAAAAAAACAACAATGACTCAATAAAAAGAAAGCAAAAATTAGGAATACATAAATAAACAACTGTAAAAAAATTTTGTGGATAATTGTAATAAAGATCTTTAAATGAATACTGAAAGCAGATAACTAAATACTAAAATAATAAAGCATAACAAAGAAACTGACTTATCCTCTCAAAAGCATCTTCTAAAAAACAATTGAAAAACTTTTTTTAACAAAATAATACAAACATTTGTCTAGACTATATCTACTGATCTTAAGTTAAAAGAAACTAATGGGTATGGAATGTGTAAAATAACTAACTAATATTGTTGGCTGCCACCATTGGACTGCTTTGAGTTGCTAAAACAATATAACAAATGTTTTTCATTATTATGTTACATGTATTATACATAAAAGTTGAATAATTTCACTAACATATATAAGTTATATATGAACGTATTTTATTTAATAAATAAAGTACGATTCAACTGTAATAAATAATATAAATAAAATAAATAAAATTCAACTGTAATAAATAATATAAATAATTTATATTATTTATTAAAGTTGAAAGATTAACAGTCAATTATTAAAAAAAAAAGATTACAACACTCTTACATTGTAATACAATGTAAGATAAAATATGTTATAATATTAATGTCTTTAAACTTTAAAGTAACATTAAAGTAACATTTCCTTACTAAGTAAGGTAAGTAAACTGATGTTTCCTTACTAAGTAATTTAATACTTTAAAGTTTAAAGTTTAAAGTATTAAAGTTTAATTTTTTTTTTTTTAATTTTAATAAATAGGAAACAATATTGAAAACCTTTATCATTATTTTGACCTTCCATTTTATTTAATCTAAAAAAAAACTGAAAATGTTATTCAATCTAAATCAAATATAAAAAATGTTTGATTAGCCCCTCTGTCTCCCGCGCCCATTTCAGCAAAATGAGAATTAGGTACCAAAAGTGCGATAAAAAATAGACACCCTGCTACAACTTTTTTTTCAATGAAATTTTCCAGGTGCATAGATAAATGAAAAACTTAAATGAAAGAATAGTATAGAAAAATGAATGAGCATATCTTCGACATTAATTTCATGCCTAAAGTACAACAAAGTTTTAGACATCAAAAAACTCTATAAAAAAGCTATCTAGTAAAATAATAAACCTAACAGTAACAAAGTTTAACTATTCTAGTTTCTAAAAATAATCTATATTGATATCAAATTCTAAAAAGTTTTCCAACTAAACACGTCTTCCCTACGCTAGCTAAAAAAAATTCTAAAAAGCGTGGCACAGTTTTTTAGCACAAAAATCGGTTCTGTAAAACGCGGATTTCCACGTACCTAATCTATGATAAAATTAATAGATAATAATAATAATCATAGATATTGACACAAATATTATTTGTGTTAATATCTATGATTATTATTATTATTATTGTTATCTATTAATTTTATCTATAAATTATTATGATGCATTTATATTTCAAATATAAATGCCATTTATAATTGAAATACAAATGCATCATAATATTTTTATAACTTAATAACATCTTGATATTTGTTACGTATAAAGTGTTTACTTATTCATGTATGTTTATTTACATATATATATGTGTGTGATCGTGTATATGTATTGTGTGTATGCTTGTATATGTATACATGTGTGTATGTATATGTATGAATGTATGTGTTTTGCGTATATGTGTGTATGTGTTTGTGTGTGTATGTATGTTTGTATGTATGTATGTGTATCATACACACATATGCATAAATAGGTGTGTGCATATACACATATACATATATGTGTGTATGCGCGCACTGGACATACATACATTCACATACTGTGTGTATGTGTGTTTGGTGTGTGTCTATGTGTGTGTATGTATGTATATGTTTGTATAAATATCTATGTATGTTTGATTGTGTATGTGTGTTTATATATATATATATATATATATATATATATATATATATATATATATATATATATATATATATATATATAAACACAAGTATATATAGATTTGTAGGTCATCGCGCTTTTGTCAGTTATATAACTGTTTAACAAACCAAAACATTGTGTATTATAATATCATAGTATTATTGTTATATTTTTGTATAATATGATCAATTTATTATCTTATAGTTGTAATATAGCGTATAATAGGGTCCGAATATATTTAAATTACATGCATCATGATGATATATTATAAATAAATATTGATATAACATCTTTATGACAACCATTAAGGTGTTATATTATTAATTAAGTTAAACCTAATGTATTTAATTTATTTATGTTAAAATATTATTATGTTGTTAATATAGCATAACATCTTATGCAAAATAATAGTAACATTGTTATTTAAATTAATATATTATAGTATATTGTATATTATTTGGATTATATTTTAAAAGATGCTGTATTGTTATAATGCAGTTATGATTTTGGTAATATATACAATTATTGAATTATTATATTCATAAAAAAAGTAACTATATCTTTATAAATATTAATAAAACACTATATATTTACAAAAAAGCAAGTATATCTTTATAAATATTCTATTTCACAGTTTTTTGTTATATGGTACGTGTCTCATTAAGTTTAACTATCATAATTCATTTAGTTGTTTTAATAGCTTTATTTTGTTTTAGTTTAAATAGAAATTTGATTAATTTGGTCAAGATCAAATCTAGCGTTAAGCTCAATATACTGTTTTAAATGATTACTTTGATGTAAAATGTGTTAAAAAATCTCATTTGTATAAAAATATATAGAAGTATATAAAGCCAACACATTAACAATGATTTGTCACCAAGCATATTGAGGAGCAACCCAATTTCTTCAGAAGCAAAAATGTAACTGAGAGTTTTTAAGTTAACTGGGAGTTTCAAATAGTAATTGGTAAAAACTACTAGTCAATTCAAAAAAAGAATAATTTTTATTTTTTTCTATTTTTGAATTAAAAAAGACATTAGAATATAATCCTAATGCAGATTTCCTTTTTGCTTTTTAACAGTCATGATTGCACCATTTAATCAGCCAACTACACCAGAAAAAATCTATTTCAATAAAGTTCACCTACAGATAGATAGTGATGTGGGGCAATCCTTTGATCATCTCAAAAACCATTGGATGTCACAAGAGACGTGAAGCACTTCAGTGCTCCTAAACATATGCTTACCCAAACTATATATTGCAAAATATATTTTAAGTGTAAGTTGCTGGAAAACTTTTACAATTCTTTAGGATTAGAAATTCCAGATGACATAAACTTTGAGGACAACAACGAAGATGATGTACACTATGTTCAGGTTGAATTTACACAAGTCAACCAATTCGACTTGGCATTGTACAAAGAACACTAGTTAAAACTATGTTATTAAATTGAAGGGGATAAGGGGATATATATGATTTACATGATATTTATGAATGAAAAAAATGAAAGTTTTTTTTTTATTTATTAATTGCATATTAAACAATTTAAAAATTTATCTGCCCTTAACAACCTCTTTGTAGAATAATCAATTCTGAACCCTCTCTACCTCTTTTCAACTTAAAACTATTTTCCTAATATTTATAATTTTTTTTTTTAAATAAATATTTAATAAAAAGTATTTAGTTTTTACAGCAAAGTTTATAAAAAATATTATTGTCATTTTATTAGGGTGTGAAAAATGTTAATTAGTAATAACCCCTAATTTAAATTAGTTAGAAATTATATGAATTCAAAATTAGAAAAGTTTGTTTTATAAAATTACGAAAACTTGGTTTATTTAAACAAAAATTAACGTGGTTGATTTTTGCGTAAGTTTTTGCGTAAGTTTGGCGCAACTCGTGCGCAACCCTAACTTTACGGAAATGCTGCGAAACATTGGTGAATACCAAAACTACGCTGAACTTACGATTTCCGTAACCTTAGTTGAGCTACGCAAGAGTTACGAAAGTTTGGTGAATCCAGCAATCAAAATAAAATTGCTGTAATCACCACCAACGGTTGATACATCAAAGATGAAAATAATAAATAACAATAACAAATATATATGAAAGCATTATTTAAAGCTTCTTTAGTTATTATAAAAATTAACATGCGTATTGCTAGCTAATTTTTGACCGCATACTTGACTTATTATATGGCTTGTGGGTGTATAAAAACTAAAAGTACTGATATTTAACTTATATATTATTCTTGCCATTTTCACTTATTATCATGATCAGTCAACTATCTATTAAAAAAGCAAAATAATTATTAATAAAAAAAAGATATATTATTATTATAGCAATTATTTTAGTGATTCCTGTGACAACAATTTTAGCAATTGTGTAAAAAAGTGACAACAATTTTAGCAATTGTGACAACAATTTTAGCAATTGTGTAAATTTAATTTAAAGTAATTTACACTTAAAACTTGAACAAATTATTGAAAATAATAAAAACTATGTTTTTACTTTGAATATACGACATCTACTTAACGCGTAATGACAAAGCCGTCAAAAAGAAGTCATAATGACATATTTATAAACAGGTCTCAGAAAAGACGTCTTTTAGCTTTGATCTAGACGTCTTTTAATGCGTATTTTAGACTATTTATTACGCGTCTTTTAAACGTATTTTTAAACTTTAAAAAGACGCATTTTAAACGTCATGTCATGTTAAAATCGCATTTATTAAAGACGTCTAGAAGATGTCTTAAAAAAAGATATCTTCTAGACGTTTTTTTAACGCTTAAATAGACGCGTTTTAAACGTCATTTTAAAAACGCCTTTATAAAAGACGTCTAGGAGATGTCTTAAAAATTGACGTCTTCTAGACGTCTTTTTATCTTTAAAAAAGACGCCTTTTAAAGGTCATTTTAAAAACGCATTCATAAAAGACGTCTAAAAGATGTCTTTAAAACGTCTATAAAAGTGCGTCTTTACCTAGACTAGTTTTAGACACTATAAGTGTCTAAAATACGTCTTGTGCTTACTGGGTAAATAATCCAATTGACGAACTTACATTTTGCCAAGACTAAGATAAAAAAAAATAAAAAAAAAAAGATGAGATAGATATAGTGTTTCACATTTCCTGATAATTTTCATTTCTCGAGAAATAAAGAATTTTTTGTGCACAAAGGTTTAATAATAGGTACACAATATATAAAAAATAAACTTAGCAAACATGTAAGGAAATAAAATCAACAACAAAAAATGCATTGAAATTACATGCTTCATTTTAAAATGGTCGTTAAATAATTTAAAAAGAATTAAAAACAGTAACTAATAACTAACAAACATTAAAAACAATAACTAATAACTAAAAAACATTAAAAACAATAACTAATAACTAACATATAGTATAAAATAGGCGAATAGGCGTAAGTCGCGGGGTAAAGCATAAGTGGCGATGACGTTTGTCTGACGGGATAAACTAGTTATAAATGCTGATCCTCATCGAAACGCTAGTAACAATAGACGCGACTCTG